CACAAAACTGTGGCTGCTCCCAGGGGCCAGGCAATGAAAAACAGGAAGTGCCTCTCTGAGCTTCGTTTGCCTTGCAGAAGCCTCAGGCAGTTGTTTTTTGACTACTGTCCAGAGTTTCTAGCTGTCATCTGCAAGAAGGCTGGATGGTTAGGATACCAGAATATCAGAAGCAGAAATCCCTGCTCCTCACTCCTAAGTAATAACCTAGCCCTACCCCCTCCCACACCCAGACCTGGCCCTGGAGGTACCAGAAGTTCCACAGAGACTCGCCTGGGCCCTCTGCCCACTCAAGAGAAAAGACACGACTATACATAGCATCAAACAGGAAGACCACCTTTGTTACGAGATATACAACTTGGGACTATGCATACTCTGTACTTTTGTGGTCAGAGGAGTGGACTTATTTCAGTAAACAAAATAACAAAGTACGTAATATGCCTGGAGAATAGACATAGATATTCTAGAATTTCAGTTGGAGTTAATAATTATAAACCATCTGCATAGATGAGACATATAAACTTTTGCAGAGGAGTTGAAGTGTATCTTTTTTCTTTGTTAGAGGAGGAGATTGAGTGACAGTATTGAATCCAGTACATGATTCAGAAACTTACTGAAGCAGCCACCTCTCTCCAAGGGATTCAGGTCCTGGACTTCCCTCTGTCTCCTTCCTGCTCTGACTTCCTGAGCATCTAACTAGGAAATAAATGGCACCCTACTGTGTATATGTGAGAGTTTGGTGTCATAGGAAACACAGTCGTGACAACTTTAGTTCCTGGGCTCTGATTCCAGAGCTTTGTGAAGTCTCCCAGGGCCATCTCTCCTCCTCCCTGATGGAAGGTGCTTCTCCCCAGCTCAGGACTATGTGCTGACACCCAGGACTCACTATGTAGATTCCAGCCAAGAGGTCATTACTGAGAGCCTATGATTTCCCAGCTTAGGACAGTGAGAGCACCAGGTCCTGGCAGCTCCCAGGGACATGGCATACCCGCCAGGGTAGGAACCCAGCGGGCTCCTGCATCTCTCTGAATCCAGGTGTGCTGGATTGACATCATGACAGGTATAGCCCCAATCCTTGTTCTTGGTTGTCCAGTGGTATAAGGCAGACCCCATTCCCTCTAGAAATTTGACCAAATCAGCCTTTGCCTCTGTAGCACAGGGCAATGGGGAAACAGTTACCTGCTCCTGTGGACCCAAGGAATTTGGTGGCCCCCAGCTCTGTGGCATCTCTAACTGGCCTGGAATTGCCGCTATTCCTCTATTAGGCAGCAGTGGTCCGGGCTGTGAGTGTCCCAGGTGGGTTTTATCGGTCAGCTGTGATTCCCTTGGCTGTCCAGCCTCCTCCTGGTGTAGGAGCTCTCCCTTCCGGGTGCAGGAGTGAGGGGTTGTTAATCACAATGCTGGCCCTTGAGCAGGCCAGGCCAGCCAGACACTGTTTGGGGGGAGTTGAGGTTTTGAGTGAAGTACTGTGAGGAGTTAAAAAAAAATTGGTAAAATCTTAACATCCTTGGGGAGATGGCTGCGTCATTCCTGGTGCTTGATTGCCTGGAAATGCTCTGATTCCAGCCCTTTTCCAGGGCTGTTTGCCAACAATGTACCCTCACCTTTTGACCCTTTCTGTGAGGCACTGTGTATTTCATCATCGAAGTAACTTTTGTCTAGCCTAGATAAATTGGGTCTCTCTCTTTTTAATTTATTTTTTAACAGCTTTATTGAGATACAATTAACACACCATATGATTTACCCATTTTAATTGTACAATTCAAAGTTATATAGTATGTTCACAAGGCTGTTTCACCATCACCACAATCAATTTTAGAACATTTCGGTAACCCTAAAAAGAAACCACATACCCATTTCCCCTCAACCTTCCAGCCTTAGGCAACCACCAATCAATCTACTTTCTGTCTCTATGAATTTGCCCATTCTAAACATTTCATATAAATGGAATAATCAATTACATGGTCTTTTGTGATTAGATTCTTTCACATTGGATTCTTTTCTTTTTTTCCTAAATTTAATTTAATTTTATTTTAAGTTCTGGGATACACGTGCAGGATGTGCAGATTACACAGGTAAATATGTGCCCATGCTAGTTTGCTACACCTATCAACCCATCACCAAGGTATTAAGCCCTGCCTGCATTAGCTATTTATCCTGATGCTCTCCCTCCCCCTGTCCCCAACAATAGTCCCCAGTGTGTTGTTCCCCTTCCTGTGTCCACGTTCTCATTGTTCAGCTCCCACTTATAAGTGAGAACATGTGGTGCTTGATTTTCCATTCCTACATTAGTTTGCTGAGGATAATGGCTTTTCCATCTATGCCCCTGCAAAGCACTTGATCTAATTTCTTTCTGTGGCTGTATAGCATTCCATGGTGTATATGTACCACATCTTCTTTATCCAGTCTATCACTCATGGGCATTTGGGTTGATTGCATGCTTTTGCTATTGCAAATAGTGCTGCAATGAACATACATGTGCATGTATATTTAGAATAGAATTATTTCTATTCTTTTGGGTATATATTGGGTCTCTTTTGAAGGCAAAGAGCCTGAATTGATACAAGGGTGTTTGTGTTAATCTTTTAAGTTTGCTTGTTTATTACATATGTATTGCATGGAGGGCCAGACAGACACTTTCTAAGTGCATAATAAACATTAACTCACAATAATGTTATCCTCACAATAACCAGTGAGCTATTTACTGCTAGTGTCTCCATTTTACAGATAAAACAGTACAGGGAAGGATGAGTAGCTTGCCCAAGGACACATTGCCAGCAAGTGGAGAAGTGCAGGAGCTGGGCTCCTACTTACATGAGCTAACTTCAGAGGCTGTGCTCTTAAATGCTAGCCTGTGCTGCCTCTCAGTACAAATTAGTATGCTTACCAGACCAAAATAACTAAAGAGCCAACTGTCATTCAGTTTTGAGAAGGTATGGCATGGATGATGTAGAGCTGTATTTACTAATGTGACATTGTTGATTAGTACATCTTATTTATTAAGATGGTATACCCACTGCCTCCCCATTCCCTGCCTCCCAAACACACAACCACATTATGAAGCCTAGAATCACTTGCATCAGAATGTCAATCATGGTGATTCTCGTAACCTGGGGAGGCCCACCAAGCTCTGGGTTCCTTAGTGGTAGGAGGTATGAGCTGCAATAGCTTGGAGCTTTGGAGGGGATGCTCTGACATGCTCCAGACCATTGAACCCCTGAAAGCTTACCTACAAGGCACATCTCTGAATCTTTGTCAAGTTTCTCTCCCATCACTTGCCGTGTTTGTGACTTAATAAGTCATTCAGAATAGTCAACATTTTTCACTTATCAGGCCCATGAACATATTGTCATCAATACAGTGGACCAATGTAACATATTGCAGTGCCCAGAAAGGCTATATTGTAACACAGAGCAGGATTCACCTTGCCCTGGAGCAAGACCGTAAAGATATATACTGCTGTCCAATCCTTGAGAATGTAAATTGCTTCCTTTTTTTTTTTTTTGAGACAGACTTATGCTGTCTCCTGGGTTGGAATGCAATGGCATGATCTCGGCTCACTGCCACCTCTGTCTCCCGGGTTCAAGCAATTCTCCTGCCTCAGCCTCTCAAGTAGCTGGGATTACAGGTGCCCACTATCGTGCTGGGCCAAGAATGTGAATTGCTTTTCAACCTACATCCTGCTGTATCCTTCAAAATAGCATTTCCATATTAATAGTTGCATATCACTTGCTAAAGCTGTGCTAACCTAATATAATAAAGATACCACGTTTGGCACAGCAGCTGTAATTGGGGCTACTCCTTGGTTAAGTTTCTAGTAGTTGTTTAGTGGCATGAACCACCTAGCTTTCCCAGAGGGCAGACTGCTGAATTAAAATGGAGGCGTAACTGGGATAACAACCCCTGCCCCCTTCAAGTCTTTGTAGGTGTCATTAATCTCTATCATAGCCCAAGAATGTGATACTACAATTAACTTACTTTTTTCATCATGAAACTTCAGTTTGAGAGCCTTTTGCTTGGCCTTCCCTAAGACAGTCATTGTTATTTCATAGCTTAGGAAGCCACAGGTTAAGGAACCAGGTCAGTCAACTAACTGCTATGTATTATGATGTATGCATGAATGTATATCCTGATTATACATTCAGGCATGGGGAGAAATGATTGCTGGGTGGCTCTGTGGATCTAGAGGGCCCATTGTGAGATGGACACTACCTGACCTCCACCTACTCTACTCTAACACGGGCTACAATAGTGCTTTGAGTCCTCGGGAATTAGCATCAACTCTGACATTGTACTCAACATCCCTTGAAAGTTGTGTATTTTCTTCTCCCCAGCATGTGAGTTACTTGGCCATAGAGCCCTCCTTTGAAAACTTGAGGGAATCAGTGCTGTGCACACTTACAAGGTTCTTCCTTATGAGAAATTATCCTCATTTCCGTCAGTGGGTTCTGGATTTCGTGGTGAACTGGCTGAGGTTTGGAAGCTGGGCAAGTGGTCTAGACTTCACCTTTAGATAGCTGACTTCAGCATTCTACTCATCTATTTTTAATCTCTTTTGATTATATATCTAAAGCAATATCTATCTTGCCTGTAGGAACAGCATATCGTACTAGCTATCTTCATGGACACCTACAGGCCAGGCCTCCCAGGTGTCACTCTAATGTTGATACCCCTTAGGGAAATTACTTTAACTTGCCATCACAGTTAAATTCTGCCACTTGGCCTCTGTTATTCTGGAATTCTATCATTTTGCTCATTACTGGGGGACCCAGTTCTGTAAAACATCCCTAGCACTGCTCCAGCCTGCAGGGGACAGCTCCCACTGAGCTTCTCAAGTATGTGGTGCCCCTCAGCAGTGCATTCCTTCTTACCTTAGTTAGTGTTTGTGCCCTCTGGAGGAGCTCAGTCCCCCGAGGGATGGATTCTCCAGCTGTAGAGTGCAGAGCCATTCTAGCACACCAACGTCCCTATCCTTCAGATCCCTTTTTCCAGACTCTGCCACAGTAGTTCTGGTATCTCTGCTTCCAGTTGATTTACTGTGTACCATGGCTTATACTAAGTCTCTAGGTGCCATCCCGGAGCATATCAGAATCATCACCTTTGGCCCTTGCTAATCTCTGTGGTAGAGAAGCATGCCCCTTTATCAATAATTCTCACTTATCTCGTTTCATATTTTCCCTTCCTGGACCAGGATCCACTCCCAAACACAATCTCCTCACTCCTGCTGATGCACACTGGCCAGTCCTACAGCTGCTTCGGAGGATACACGTGTTCTTCACTTTGCAGCCTGGCCCAGGACCGTCCACTTGCATTGTCCTGAGTGGTATCAACATAGTCTTCATTCTAGAAAAATCGGGAGTTGGGTGGGGGTGGTAGCTCTCTCTTCCAACAAGGGGCAGAAAGACTTGTCTACAAACCCAGTAGGTTCAGGGGGCATCTGGAGTTCAAACTTCTCAAGTACATCTACCTAGATAGCCCAATACTGAGTTTTAAGGCCTTGACTTTGGCATAAGAGACCACCCTGAGCTTAGAATTCAGTTCCTGAGCCCCAGATTCAGTATTCTATAAAGTTCTGTGATTCATAAAATCAGGGCCTGTATCAGACCTTCCTTCCTGTCTGTCTCCCAGGTGCAGGCATGAGGGTCTCTTCTCTTTATGGTGGTGATGAATAGATGTAAGCCTGTCATTTACTCTTTTCAAGACATTAATGGAACTTAGCAATAGCCACCAAAACCCATACTTATTATAGTTACTTTTCCTTAATTCTTAAATGCCAATTGTACTAGCTGTCTTACCTCTTCACCTATAGCTCATCCAGTTAACTACAGGTAAAAGTGTTGGCAACTGCTCAGTGATAGCACCCCTGGGACTGTCCATATTCCACCCAGCACCATTGGGCTAGACAGTGATCCAACTCCAGAGACCTGTCCTCAGAGCTTGCTTCCTAGGCTATTATCTTACCCCTAGAAGCAGATTCTGGGATGAAGTCCCTTTACCAGGAGATTTATGGTGAGCGTTCACTCAGAAGGGAGAAGGGGAAGCAGCATTTTGTGGCCAAAATCTAAGCCCGGATGTGGCCACAGCTGGAGACTAGCTCCAGCCTGATTTCTGGGAGCACAGAGTAGCCTCACACCACATCGTTGGTACTGTTTTGAGGCAAGGGGGTCAGCCTCAGGCCACGGGGTGTCACCTTCAGGTGAAGCTGGTTCCATTAGACCCAGGGTAATACTCTGGAGACCACTCAGCCACCACTCAGCAGTTGTGGATAAAAAGACCTGGCCAGAAGAGGAGATGGCACCAGGATACCAACAGTTTTGCAGGGGAGTGATAAATGGCTTCCCTCTACTTTGCTAGGTTTGTTGGCTGAGCTATGAATGAATTAAATTGCCATAAGTAGATTAAGAGGAGGATAAAAATTTTAATCATATATGTTTGCACAGGAGTCCCATGAAATACAAGACTCCAAGAAGGGTCAGATGATTGACATGCATACACCGTCTTCAGCTATCGAAAAGAATGGGGGCCTGGGGCTTCTGCAGGGAGGTGGCCAGACAAGTGGGCGGGGGAAGGAAAGAAGTGTGTTCTGAATAAAGCTTGGCTGGTTTTTCAGATAAAAGGTCTCGTGAGTAATAAATGTCTGGAGCAGCCCTCAGGAGAAGAGGTGACAGTCTGTCTGCGCTGGTGTCACCTCCCACCTCCTCCCCTGTGATCCCAGTTACCCTTCCCTGGCTGATGAGATTGTTGGCGATGGGATTCATGATGATTGAATTTCTTTTGGATGATTCGTCTTTGGGCAGATGAGGGAGGCTCAGAGAAAAGCCCCTCCCTGCATGTGCTGTGTCCGAGTGCTCTCAGTTTGAAGTAAGTGGCAAACTAGTGGCATATTTTGGGGTACCATTTCCTGAAGGCCTTCAGCATCCACTAAACTAGTCAACGGTTCCCATTTGTTTCCTGAATAGAAAACACTTCCTTCAAATTCTTCTCAAATTCAGCCTCCAGTCGAAGTCCCATTTGGCCAAAATCCTTGTACTAGAAAAAAAATAATAAAGACAAAAACAAAGTTCCCCATGATTAGTGTCGTTAGACACCTTTCAACTGAGAATGATCAGGACTCTTGGCTTTAAAAAATAAAGTACTGTAAGTTGACAATTTATAATGGTATATATTTTGGAGTATAAAGTAATGTGATTTATGACTGCTATGTGGAATAATCAAATCAAACTAATTAACATATCCATCACCTCAAACAGTTATCATTTTTTTGTGGTGAGAACATTTGAAACTTACTCTCTTAACAATGCTGAAATGTGAAATACACTATATTGTTAAGTATAGGACTCTTGTCTTACACACGCTAAGTTACATTAACCAGGTTAAACTTGAAAACTCATGCAGCTAAGAGTAACTTCTGTTTTTTACCAGAATGATTCTTTCTTATTAACAGGGCAGAAAAGTGAAGTTATTTTCATAGTTGGGATTATTACTTATTTGGCTTTGGTTGCTTATTTCAGTGGGTTAGAAAAGTAATCTATGCTCTTTCACCAATTCAGATAGTGGAAGGGCATAAGGTAAGATCGCTGATCTGTTCCTTTCTCTATCACCTCTGCTCCTTGCTGGCAATCCCTGTTAACCATATGGTCTAGTCACATGCAAAGAAATCTGGAGTTTGGGAATCCTGAGGTTAGGGGAAGATAAGAAGCACAATACCACTATAAGATGAAATTCTTCTCTTTATATGCTGCAGCAGACAGGACTCAATTGCTCTCTCTGAGCTCCTGTCACCTTGGGGCAGGTGGGGGATGAGCTCTCAGGAACCTGGAGCTCTGGTTGCAGGAACACCTTTTGACTCACTGTTACTTTGCTATGATGAGCTAAGACCTGAACTGAAAAAAATCACTCACTTTCAGAACCCTTGCTTGTGCAAGCTTATTACAGGATGAGGGAAATTAAAATTTTCCAGGCACCAGAAAATGAGGGGAAGAATGGAAAGAAACCAAACAGAAGCAGGAAGAGCCACCTACCTTGTAAGATGCCCTGTGATTCTGGAAGATGAGGCGCATGTCACGTACAAACCCCTCCACTCGGGAATAACTGTGCTCATTCAGCCTCTTCTTGATTTTATCCAACCACATGGGCTCCTTCAGGCCTTGACATGCCTCTCTAATCTGGTGACAAAAATACCAGTGGGAAAGCTACCAGCACAGTTCAATCTCCACCTTCTGTGGCTTCCCATAAAATCCAGCAGAAATACAACAAAGTGAAGGTAACTAACAACGACAGCATGTGCTCTTGCTCCACGGGATTAAGATCACAAATCTCACAAGGACTCATTTCAGGCAATGTCATGGCAACCTGTAATCATGGGTTGCTGTTGTTACTTACATAATAATAATATGGAATCTTGGCAAAAAAGGAGCTCTCAGAACAGCAATAGACTTTCAAGAGGAGGAATTCACATTTCTGCAAAAGAAAGAGGCCATAAATGAAAAGCAGCGTGGAGACAGTGAGCCCACATGCCTGTCCAGACAGAGCACATGACTCACACACTTCTTCCACAAGCTTCTCTAACGCGTGTGGTTCTTGGAAACAGACATGACATGGCTGAGTTATTTTTTCTGCAAACAAGTTGTAGTGGCCTATCAGTGCAGTTGAAGTGTGGTTCTGAAGAGCACACTTCTGGTGCATTCCCCTGACCCTGCGTTTGTTCATGCTTTCACATGTGAGGGGAAAGGAGAAGGTTTGGGCATTGCATCTGACTCACCAACTGTTCCTCAGGACACATCTGCCTCTCCAGGACCTCAGATTCCTGACAGCACTGCTGGCTTCCTGAAGACTCCTTCATCCTGCAGAAGATGCAACTCCACGGGGTCCTGAGAGATTGAGCAGAGGGCAGGGACCCTGGAAATGGCCACCATTTTGTGGCTGCTACTGTGCTCCTTCAGGAATGGCTGATGGGCTCAGCTATGGGGGACAGGAGAACACCTCCCAGAGTATCCAAGAACTGCACGTGGGGTCTCCAGCCATTGGCCTTTCCCTCACGTCACTGGTAGCAGTAGGTGGGAAACCGGAGGAAGGTGGTGTCACTGTGAGTGTGGCTCTCCTTTTCCTGTCTGAGCTGCTGGGAGTACAAGGAGCCCTGCCTGCCAGGCCTCGGTATCAGAAACTGGGCTTTCAGCTCCAGGGAACTCAGGCCTCCATCAACCCAATGAGACCATGCCACTTGTCTTGTATGAATAAGCACAAAATAAAAACAACTGGTGTTTCTTGCCCCAAGTCTCCCTGGACAGGAGACCTTGCTACAAAACTTGAAGGAAAGGACAATACCAGTATATAGGCAAAGGGTCCCCAACTCTGGCCTCAGCATACCAGAGGAGGTGTCCCTGAGAGCACAGAGAACATTAACCTCCTGCTGCCAGCGTCTCCCACTGCTCTCTGGATCACACTGCTGGGTCCCAGTACCCAAGGAACCTGCTCCTTCCCCAGCTAAACACAAGCAGGCACTCTGCTGGGGAAAGCGCATGGCAGGTGGAAGGGTCCCTTAAAGGATGAAAGAGAGGTGCCTGCATGTCACTCACTTCTCAGTTTCCACAGGTGGGATGTGGCAGTCCTCATGGAAGACTCTTGAACAAGTGTCACAACAGAACAGCTCCCCTCCGTCCCGGCAAAGCTCACACTCATCCAAGTTTCTCATCTAGAAGGTAAAACAGTGTCCATGTCACAGGGATCTGCAAGATTCAGGATGGCCTCCCCTCTGGCCATCTAGAACACTCTACCTTTGCGTCAACCTGCGTGGACAGGCATTTGCTTCTCACTGGGATGTAAAGGAGAAGCATGGCCTGGAGATTTCAGAACAAATCCTAGTCTGCAGTGAAGTTCAGGAGGAAGGGGTATGTGTCAGAATAAAATGTTTCTTTATAAAACCAGAGACTATTACACAAAAAGACTAGTAACAAAGCAAGAGAATGATTTGATTGGAATCTGAATAATTGTATTATGCTGCAGATAAAATCAGGTTTTGAAGTAAAGTGTTAAATCCATTTGCCTATACCACAAATCAGCTCATGAAAGGGAGACCTAGAGAATTACATATGATAGACTAAGCTTCTGAGATGCTACTTTCCATATTCTTGGCCATAAGTTCCCATGAGTTGAAGAGATGGCCTAGTTAGGGGTTCCTGGACTGTAGGTTCTGTGACTGGAGGGCTGTGCACCTACCTCTGAGGGGGAAGGACCATGGGTGCAGATGACTAGGGGGGCCCTGGGGAGCACAGAGCTCTTTGGCTCTGGTGTAGATCCCCCATGACTTAGCTAATTTGGATTGGAAGGTGTGAAGGTGTCATCTCTAATGACCAAGCAACCATACAGTGTTGAAGATGGAGGCCCTACCCTCATTTCCTGGGCCCATAAAAGAGCTGGTGCTATGTTCTTTTTTTTTCTTTAATTTTAAAGAGAATTTTGATTTTATTTTAAGATATGTATACATGGTAAACATTCAAAGAAAATGAAAAATATAAACAATGAAAAGTAAGACTCGCATGCTTGGGGCTTCCAAATCTCTTTCCTTTTCACCTGAGGGAGACAGTAATATGTTTCTTAGGAATCCTTCCAGTAATAGTTTGTGCATGGATAAGAATATATATATCTATAATTTTCATAAAAGACAAAATCAAATGTTAACATACCCTTCTCCTTTTTTAACTTAATATTTTGGAGACTGTTCCATATTACCATGTAGATATGCCTTACTGCTGTTAAGTTGCATTATTTTCTACCACCTAGATTTCCTTGAGTTTAATGAAAAAAATAATTTTTAGATTATATATAATAGAGCAATTCTAAAAATACATTTAATGAAATGTATTTTTAGAATTGATCTATTATACTTATACATGTTTTGGAGATATAGGTGATATTTTGGTACATGTATACAATGTGTAATGATCAAATCAGCATAGTTAGGATATCCATCACTTCAAGCATTTACCTTTCCTTTGTGTTAAAACATTACAATTATTATCTTTTAGCAATTTTGAAACATACAATAAATTATTAACTATAATTTTCCTACTTATTTCTAAGACTAGAACTTAGTTCTCCTACCTAACCGTATTTTTGCACCCATTAACCACCCTCTATTCTTCCCCTACCCCCACCCTTTCCAGCCTCTGGTATCCATCATTCTATTCACTACTTCCATGAGATCCACTTGTTAAGCTCCCAAAATGAGCAAGAACCATGTAATATATGTCTTTCTGTGCTTCATTTATTTCACTTAACATATTAACCTCCAGTTCCTCAAACATGAGTGAGAACATGTAATATTTCTCTTTCTGTGCTTGATTTATTTCACTTCACATAATAACCTCCAGTTCCATCCATGTTTCTGCAAATGATGGGATTTTATTCCTTTTTTGTGGCTGAATAATAGTCCACTGTGTGTGTGTGTGTATATATATCAAATTGGAGATTATAAATAAATATATATATATACACACACATATATATGTATATACATACTATATATAGTGTATGAATGAATATATATAATATATATATATATTTTACATATATAGATATTTTATATATAGATAGATATTTTATGTAGATATTTTGGCTTGCTGGGCTCTGTGAGGGTGGGATTCACTGAGCTAGACCGTTTGGCTCCCTTTGGCCCCCCTTCCAGCAGAGTGAATGGCTCTGTCTCACTGACGTTCCAGGCACCACTGGAGTATGAAAACCAAATAAACAAACTCCTGCAGCTAGCTTGGTGTGTGTCCAAATGGCTGCCCAGTTTTGTGCTTGAAACCTAGGGCCCTGGTTGCATAGGCACTCAAGGGAATCTCCTTGTCTGTGGGATGCGAAGACTATGGGAAAAGCATAGTATCTGGGCCAAGGTGCACTGTTCCTTATGGCATAGTCCCTTGCAGCTTCCCTTGGCTAGGGGAGGGAGCTCCCTGATGCCTTGCACTTCCCAGGTGAGGCAATGCCCCACCCTGCTTTGGCTCACCCTCCATGGACTGTACCCACCATCTAATAAGTCCCAATGAGACAAACCGGGTACCTCAGTTGGAAATGCAGAACTCACTCGCCTTCTGTGTTGATCTTGCTGGGAGCTACAGATCGGAGCTGTTTGTATTTGGCCATATTGCCAGGTCCCCCTTGGTGCTTTGTTCTATAAAAATAATGGTAAATCAACTAATTCTACATTTCTCACCAGTCTCAATACATGAGACCTTTAGCCAGATTTAATTTCATTTGGAGAAGTTAAAATATGATAGTATTTGTGTCCACATGTTGTGGAGCAAATCCCAGTCATTAAAAACCAACAGAATTTATAGAGCAAATATAGAGACCAATACATGTTTGCTGTACTGCAGACAAATACATGTGTATTCATGGCAAAGAACCAGTCTGTGTCTGAGCCCTTTGTCATTTAAGGGAAAAGTGCTACAAGGTCTATAATTACAGTTCAATATTATGTGCAGCCTGGACATCTGGTGACACTGGGAGGGTGCAGAACGGCCTAATCTACAAGTTCTCCCCCAGCTCTGCTGCTGCAGGTAAGGTTTCCTACCAACACTTCCGATCAAGAGGACCACTTGCAAGTTCTGCTTATTTTTGAATAACTGATTTCATTTCCCTTCCAACCATGGAATTCTTCAAACAAGCCAATCACCTTCTCCCTCTGGAAGCAGGGGACAGCCCACCCTCCAGAGCCACTGGCTGTTCCCTCTGGTCCTGTGTGGAGTGCCTACAGGCTCTTTCTGCTGCTGCTTCTACTTTTCTATTTTAACCGGCTCTCTAAATTCATTTCAGCTCTAGGTTAGGTGAAATCCTTCTCTTGTGATCTGGATTTTCAGGTTCTTCAGTGAGGTTGTGTGTTCAGAGATGGACTTTCTCCTTCTCATACTTTGAGAACTCACAGTTTTTTGGCTCTCTCACAGAGTTTGCAGTGTCAAGGCACTTCTCTGAAAGGGTCTGGGAATTCCTTGTTTTGCTGAGATGTTCCTATGGTGATTCTTGTAGCAAAAGTTCACAATGTGAGTCTCAACACGCTGTTCTGTCCATCTGAGTTGGAGGTGGAAATTAGTCCTGCCTCTTATCTGCCATTTTTTTTTCCAAACCCATATCTGCTTATGAAGAGATTTGATTTCCCCTGTTTTTTCCTTGTTGGCTTGGCTGTACATTAGACTC